AGCCAGATACAACTGATAGGAAAACCTTTACCTGGAAGGCTTCTATGCATGGATCTACTCCATCTTCCAGAAGGCTGCTATTCTGGAGTATGGGTCTATTTGAAGAGGACAATGCTGTGATGTCTTGGCTCCCTCAAGTCCAAAGAATGGGGCACTATCTCTCCAGAAAGCTGCCTTAGATTAATTAAATCCTGCTGGAAGAGGCAGCCCTGAGGTTGGAGGCACATTTGGGTACCAAACCAAAGAAGATTGTTTTAGCTTAAAACCAGGACTTAGAATTGCGCCCTGAAGCCTACTGGCAACCAGTACCTGTCACATGGAAATCGCATCAAGCCTGATTGGGCAGCCACATTCTGGATCAGTTGCAATTTCCAAATGGTTTTCAAAGGGAACCACACATAGAGACCACAATAGTATTCTGGAAAGTTGGCAATGATGACACAAATCACTATTTAAAGGTCCTTATCTTCCAGTAGGGCTGCAATTGTTGGGCAAGTTTCCTGGCCATGACTACTATTTGTCCTTCCAGCAGTAGTCATGATTTGAGAGGACTCCCAGGTCATAGATCTGCTACATCAGGGGCAGTGCTACCTTTTGAAACCTATGACCAGAACTGACAGAGAATAGTAATGGACAAATTACAACTCTGTTTTTAACATTCTAGCGAAGTGACTTTCAGCCAGTCTTTCTCTCAGCCATAGTAAGAAAGAAATGGTTAATGACTTCCATAAATATTGCCAAGAAATTCCATGCAGTCCTGGCAGTCCCTAGGAGTCAAAATTGGCTTGAAGGCAACCCCCTCCCCCACAAAAAAAACCTTACTTCACTTCTTTATTATCACAGAATAGCCTCAAACTAGGTTTGTACCCTTGACCAGTCAGATTAACTTCTTGTCTTTCTCCTAGCATGGTTCTCTTGCTCCTACTCCTTGAGTTATTCAGAAGTGAAGGAACCCCTCAGGGTTGGTACATATGGAGAGGCTGCCCAAAGACAATCTTATTGAGAACTAGTCCAGTGGAACTGCCTGGCAGAAATTCTCCAGATCCATTGGATACCTCAAGTGGACATTCTTAATAGATACTCCAACCATGCAGAGATTCCTGGTAGCAGTCAACCTCAACTGAAACAGAAGATTCAACTGAGAATCAGTTGCATGTGGGATGTCATCGGGTCATATTCTCTTCTGTGGTTTTATCTTGCTGGTTTTTGCTTTTAAGGTTTCAATCCTATGTTAGTCACCCAGAGGTGCCCTATCAATTGATGACATAAACAAGGAACGAAGGATCTGACCATGTAAATGGACTAAATGCAATACTCTCCTTATCCAGAGCATCCAAGGCAAGTACAAGTGGTGGTAGCTAAACAAAAACTGTGAAATACTCTACATTGGTTGCTATTGGAGCCATTTGGCTATCTAACATAGCATCAACTTTACCTTCTTTTACCTGCCTTCTTTAATAGCAGCAGCCTGCAGCACATCTGCTACCTGGATAGGAAGAGTTCTTCCTTGGCCATCTAGTCTAGAACATCTGACAAGGTGGGTAGGATATTGAGCTCAAGACAGCATGCCACAACCATGGGCTGAGCCTTATGGAATTAATTCTGAAAAGGATGTGTATGTGTGTCAGAGAGAGGAAGAGGGAGAGGTGGGGAGGGATGGAGGAAGGAAGGAAGGAAGGAAGGAAGGGGAGAAAGAGAGAGAGATAAAGAGAGAGAAAACTAAGCTTTTCTTGTTTGGCTATTCTTTTGGTCAAGACTAGGCTAAGGGTCTATTCTTCTAAGGTGAGGGTCTGGAATACCTAGCAGACTTCTGTTTTAATCCCTTCTCTTTGAGTGGAACTATGATTAATATTTTATTTATTTAATTTATTTAATTTATTTAATTTATTTAATTTATTTTATTTTATTATTTCATTTCATTTTATTGTTTTATTTTATATTTTATTTCATATTTTATTATTTTATTTATATTTTATTTTATTTATTTTTTATTTTGTTTTAATTTATTATATTATTTATTTATATTTTATTTTACTTTATTATTATTTTATTTTATTTTATTTCATTTTTTATTTTATTTTATTATTTTATTTATATTTTATTTATTTTATTATTTATTTGTTATTTTATTATTTTATTTTTACATTTTTACTGGTTCCCCATCTTACCATAAAGTAACTCTGGGTGGCTCTCAGACATAAAAAAAAGTACATCTACATTAAAACCTGAATAAATTAAAACCAAAGATTAAAATCAAAGACACAAGGGGAGGCTGGAGAGGAATGGGAGGAGGTGCGATCTGTTGTTACTCAATCAACCACCTCCATTATTTGTTGTTCTCCATTAAGACTTCATATTTAGAGTTTGTTTTTTTATGCTGCATAAAGTCACTCTCCCCACACCCCCAATGAGAAACTGCAACTAAATCAGTGTTGCTGTCAATTTGTTTCCACAATCAGTTCTACTGAGATAATGAATGCCAAAGACATTTTGATCTGTTCTAGCAAATAATTAATCAAAGAAAATGTGAAGGGAAGGAAAGAAACAAGGGATAATTAGAAGTGTTTCACTCACCTCTGCTTCAGGCAGGGATAAATGATTGTGCAAATAAATGGGCATTCTTTTGGATAAACGTAAAGGTTTAATGTTCAGAATGCACTAAAAGCAAAGTGTGGCTGGTCAGAGGCAGGTTGGCGAAAATATCCTGCTGGCATATAAATTGCCAGATGATTTATGGCAACAACAATAAATTCCAAATATTCTGGATTTCTAGTGATGGTGAAACCTCCAGTTCATGCATCTGAACTTTATCAATGGGGAATGGCAGCAAATGATTCCAGTCTCCAGCGCACAATGAAGCATCCAGAACAAAACATTTTGTCAAGACGACAGAATGGATACCATGCAACAACATGAGTGTTAAAAAGCAGGGTTTTAAGCACTGTTTTACCCCTCACCTCCCAAATTCTGCATTTGTAGGGTTCTGTCAGGTGCAAAATATCAGGTCCACAAATGAAGGTCCAATTAAACTGATTTACAGCTACTCATGCCTATGCCCAGGAATATTCTCAACTCAGTGGCTAGAGAATACACATTCCGGTAGAGAGAAGTTTCCCAAATATGAGCTTCTGCATTAATCTGAAAGCTCGGAAGACTAAACCTCTGGTCCCGGTGACTGACCCAGATTGGATCCTGCAATATTATCCTGGGACACGTCTATTTGCTTTCATTCATTGCTTGGAATTAGATAAGAATCAATGGAATTCAAGAGAGGTTGGACTTAACTCACTTGTGGCTATGTAGGGATTCTAGGCGGAACCCTCTTTTAACTCTGCCCCCAAGTGCTGCCACACCTTGTATAGGTTCATCTAACTGATGGCTTTGGAGTTGATAAATGTGAAGTTTTTTATGGCTAACTAAGGACATATCCAAGAAAAAATATTATTGATAGGTCCAAGCTCAATAGATACACCATTCTATAAAGGAAAAAGGAGGCCATGAAAACAATGCCCTCATTTCAATAATCCTTTATTTTTATTTTTTAAAATTTGATCCTCCCATAATAATGTACTGAAATGCATAACAGTTACATTATACAAAGCATTTAAGGAAAGTACCTTGACTTGCTGGTTATTTCAAAATGAGATAATAAACAAAAGAAAAGTAAAATCTGGCCCCTTACCAAAAAGGCAAAATACAGCCCCCACCCCACCCCTGTCCCGAAAATAACAGAATACAGTTAATCGTTTATTTATTGGGTTTTTTTTTCCTTTTTTAAACATAAGTTTGGAACACTTCATTTTACAAATAGGATTAACATGAACATAACATCACATAGCTCGCAGACAACCAGCATAAAATATTGGGTACAATTTTCTTTTTCTTTACCAGAAGAATCATGCTTTCATGAAGAAAAAAAAATTAGAATGCTTTATACATTTGAATCATTTTGCTTTATTACAAAAAAAATCTCTAAATTGCCTCTATTCATTAATTTCAGTAAAATGGAAAAAAAGATAGTAAAAGAGGAATGTAAGACTTTTTTTTTCCAAACACAGTTTGCACGCCGATATATGCAGATCAGTTTGCCTCCCATTTTTTCTTCTTTTGAAGTTCATGGTGCCCAGAAAAATGATAGTGAGGGGTTTTGGGTATAAAACCAGACCAGTGCTATTCATTTCACATCAACAGTGCTACATTTAGCAAGAGTGCTTTTCTACTTAATCCACAAACAATTGTTTGCCAACAAATAAATACATGGTACAAGCAACATCAAAAAAAAGAGGAGGGGGGGAGGAAGAAGAAATAATCAAAAGCAAAAAAGTAAACATGAACAACGGGAAAACATGCAATGACGTGATTGTCTAAAATTAAAAATGCCTTTACAATAATAGGGAAGCATTCATTGAATTATAGTGGTATGTTTGATGACCATGGTCCATCGTAAGTAAGATGCTGAAAGATTCACTTCCTAGGATTACTGAATATCCAGATTTGTGGGGGTTTTTTACAATATACATAGATGTCTTACATTATCATCTCCTGTTGATTCTCTATATTCAATTTATTTTTATAGTGTAATTCAGAAGGCAAAATTAAAGAGAGGACAAGATATTGCCACTAAGTTCTAGGTTAATGGCTGGCGTACAAAGGCTTTGTCTTCCTTTGTGGCTTGAAATGCATGAAGCAAAAACGAGGTGGACTGTAGAGAAAAGCCCGTCTCCGACTGCTCTATAAGAAAACAGAACAATCCCTTTCCCCCAATGAATGAAACAATTTTTGTAGTTGAGTGAAGTGCTCATGAATATGTAGCAATAGAATCTTAACCCCTAAGTCCCTCCCCAAACAGGTGGAGTGGAAGACACATATTTTCTATCAAGGTCTATTTGATCCATCTTTTCTGAATGTCGCATTGATCCTCAAAATGTCAGCAGCTGCCTTCACTGTGCAAAACAAAATATTGAGAATAAATAGTTTTTTTTTCTTCTTCTTCTTTTAAATCATTGAGTTTAAGGTCACCTGACTTTAAACGTGACCTGTCAGATTTCTAAGGCATTCTGCTCTGCAGTCTTTTTAGTCATTAGTCTTCTAGCAAAGAGCCTTGTTGCTAGTTCGGACTTAGTCCCAATCCAGTTAACGATTGACAATGTCATACGTGACTAATGGATTGGATGGCACCAGATTCCGCAGCAGCTCTAGCCATACTGTGCCACATGTTGGACGAAGAGTGTAGAGAGTCCTTGTCGGAGAGTGAAAGCATCATAGCGTAAGCCTAGGTCAATAGAAATGAGAAAACAATTCTAAAAATTAATAACAATAGTGTGTAGATCCACAATTTTCTCATTGATAGCAACTTAATTCAAATCAATCTTTTATTCTGTCATAGACTAGCAAATAAAACACAAGAGTCGCTGTTAACACTATGGCACCACAGTACTTGGCTGTGGTCAATGAAATAAGATCAGCTTGATATGACAATTACAGCTTGAGATAAAACAAATTGGAATAATTAGGATATTTAGCAAAGAATGGAAATAATAATTCTTGGTGAGTATTGAGAGAACAGTACAGAATAATATGTTCCATCAATTCAATTATTCCTCCACTGCATTGACACAATCTCTATTTGAAGGGGATTTTTTGGGTATTTTCTTTCATTAACAGCTGTTGGCAGGACATTGAAACTGACTGAAAAAAAGACCCTTCTAATTTTGGGATTGTTATGTGACTGAGATATCTAGCTGATTGAAGAAGATTTGCAGAGTGGCTCAAGAAGGAGTTTGGGGGTAGCAATTCGCTTTTATGATCATGCTTTATGACTATTTGGGAAAGGGTCTTGCTTATGTATCACACATCATTTTCTTATTAGGGCCTACTGAAGGAAGCTTTGGGACAGAAAAACTGCAAGCGCTACACATTATTAAATATGCTAGCTGTAAGATACATAAAGTGGTGGGATTCAACCGGTTCGCACCGGTTCGGGAGAACCCATAGTTAAATTTACCTGAATTTGGAGAACCAGCTGGCTTCTGGAAGTCCAGTCTAGGCCTCGGACGCCTCTCAGGCCTAGAACAGCCCGCCGGAAGTGCGTTGATGCCACTTCTGGAAGTCCATTCTAGGCATCGGAGGCCTGGAGGAGGCCTTCCAGGCCTGGAACGGCCCACCGGAAATGCATGATGCCACTTCCGGAAGTCCATTCTAGGCATCGAAGGCCCAGGCCTGCATCACATAATACAGTGTTTCTCAACCTTGACAATTTTAAGGCATGTGGACTTCAACTCCCAGAATTCCACAGCCAGCAATGCTGGCTGTGGAATTCTGGGAGTTGAAGTCCACATGCCTTAAAATTGTCAAGGTTGAGAAACACTGACATAATAGAACCGGTTGTTCAGGTATTTGAATCCCACCATTGGATACATAAAAAAGGTGAAACGAACACTGGATCTAACTCTTCATGGAATGGGAATGCTGAGAATCTAACCATTTCAGTTCATGGAATAGGAACAAATTCTCAATTTACTTCCTGGAAGTAACTATTACACTGTCCTACAATAGGACAGTTAAACTGTCCTACAATAGGACAGTTTAAAACCTATGACTAAAATGTTTTCACATTGTATGGTTTAGCAAACATCAGAATTAATGCTGATGCCAAACTGGGGATATATTTTTTTACTGCAGGAGAGAGGACCAAAGAAAGAGAACCCTTTATTCCCACAAGCGTCCCTAAGCAGTTGATTTTGGAGATGGATAAAATACTTGGCTGTTTATTATCATACAGTCCTTATTCTCAGTCTGAATGTTTTGATTTCATCTGGATTAGGCTGCTAATTGCATTTCCTTAGTTGTTCGTCTTTTGCATTTCCCAAAGGACTTTTACCTGGGATTTGGACTTGCGATGCAATGGCTGTTTTAAGTCTTCTGGCAAATGGGAGGTGGTGAATGCTGCCAATTCGGTTTCATTGAACTGGTTTTCTTCTAATTTCCTCACTTTGAGACTATCGGTGAAGTGCCTTATATGGTCCAAAGCAGAAAGTCCAGTTTTATTAAACTCATCTTCTTTATACCTATAAAAAAGACATTAAGATAAGATATATAAATATATATATATACTTTGAAACATTTTGTCTGAATCTTCCTGATACTAATAGTAGTTCTAGGCTAAAGTCAATGATTGTATTCATCGTAGGTTTAAACATATCACTGATTTCAATAAAATTAAATATAAGTACTTTTCTCTGGAACACACACACTTCTTGGAACATCCTTTTGTTATGTACAGTACAGGATCTGTATTCTAAGCCTTTGTGCAAATTGACAAAATAATTAGTCATCCTCATATAGGTTCATAGTTAACAACGCAAGTCAGTGTTTGTCTACTGAAGACTAAGAGCCGTTCATATTAAAAATGTATTTTAAAAAAACAGTTTCTTTAGATTTCCATAAATGAAAATCCTTATACTCCCTTTTCCAGTTAATTTCCCACTGTAACACTGCACATTGTTGACTTGATTCACTGATTGAGAATGACTTTTTTATATATTGTCATATATTACAGGCTACCTTTTGGACAAAGTTTGAAAGACAGGGAATAATAAGAAAAGAATGTTGCATTGTAGGTTCTTTGGTGCTCTCTTGATTGTTTTCTTGCAGAGGTTTCATTACCCAACTAAGTAACATCAGCGCACCAAGGAACCCACAGTTCAACCCTGAACTAATATTCTCTTTTATTGGTAAAATACTGTATATACAGCACATTGACGCATATCTCAGCACTTCATAATGTTACATGGCACAAGAATGATTAGTCACTGAAGAAACTGAATATTTTATTTTCACCTACATGCAATAATACCCAGGTACTTTCTAGGAGGTACTTCTGGATCCCATCCATCCCCACCCTGCTGCTGCCATGTTTGACTCTATTATCGAGATAAGTACCCACCTGTCAGGAGAAGATTTGCAATTTATTTCCAATGCATTTGCTTCTTCAAAGTCACCCTCTGTGGGATCTTCACATATGCTGCTTGTTGCAAGTTCTTTAACTGATTTCCCTGTTATTTCACTTTCTTCATCTTCCTCATCCATCATTACTTCATCTTCTGCTTCTTCGTCTTCCAAAAGGTCTGAATTCTGGCTTACTACTGGGGTCTTTTCATCCTTAAAGTGACTTCCATTCATTCTTTCAAAAAGTAAAAATGAACAGTCAATACAAAATGAACTATAGGGAGTTTTTAAATATAAAACCTTTGTTTTCTACAATTGTTTTGCAGAAGTAAGAAGTAAGTCTGCTGCAATTAAAATCCACACTATTCAACCTTGTTCATTAAGGTGACAGCATTTCTTTGAAATTTAATTCATATCTGAATTGACAATTGTGAAATTAACATTGAGGAAAATTAGATTAGATTTAGATTAGATTATATTAGAGTAATAGACTATTTTTTAGATTACTATATCCTTCAAATTAGAATTTCTAACACATTCAACACTAAGTTAAGGGAGAAATTATTCATTTCATCACCTGTCTGATACTGCACTGTTTCTCACAGAAAGATGTTCAAAACAATTTATGCACATTGCTGAATAATAATATAACCTAAAGAATATAATTATGTTATATTTGGTGAGCCATGAAATAGCTATGAATTATTAGTGCTTTAATGTCTTCAAGGAAGAGCAGACATTTTTGTGAAGGGCTGAAATTAAATTAGTGGGAGAAACTGAGATTTGGGTGGGAATATCCTTGATTTTAACTGTGATATCCCTAATTTAGGTCTTCTATTTGCTTTCCACCTGAAATAGCAGGAACAATGTCAGCATTGTAGAGGGCCACAAAAGTGAATTACTTTAGAAGAATAGTCAAATTTGATTTTTTCACTAATGGCAATATTATACATTATAATAGTACTACTATAACCTCATTTATATTTGTATGAAGGACTTCTAACGTAAAACCTTGCCATGCAGAAATTAGCAATGTCCATTGTGTTGGGACAGTGAAGTATATTTTAAATATTTTGACGTTAAAATAGAATCTATCATCTTAAGCACATTATAATACAAAATGGATTGGAGAAATAATCACATGAATTGTTGACATTGTTTAATATTACACCGTAAGAATTTAATTATTTAGTTGTATGAATCATTCTCTGTTGTTTTCCTCAGAGATAAACTCTGATTAGCCTTACTTCATTTTAACTTAAATATGTAAATAAACAGTCAATCGGAAGTCTTCAGGCGTACCCAACCTATTCCCTAGAACCAAATTCTTATTTTGAAATGTAAAAAGAATGTTATTTCTCCTGTAACTATGTTTGGTTTTCACTATAACTAATCTATCTGGCAAAAGAGAATGAAATCACATAAGAAGTTATCTCATTATTGTCAAAATCATGTAGCCCTGCCCACAATTAAGTTTAGAAACTTTTAGAAAGTTTGTATCTTCATGGCTGTTCCTTAATTTATAGCATAGAAAAAAATTGTCAGAAATTAACCAAAACCAGTAATAATACAGAAGCTACAAAGCATATAGAAATCATGATGGAAAGATCAGCAACAACTGCTCATCTTTATAATAGAGGATATTCTTGGCATGATTTAACAAAGTGGCCTGCTTAGTATGTTTTGGGTAATCATAAGAATTATGAGTCATAAATCAGGGATTGCCAGACAGCAAATTTCAACAGTTGGAGACTATTTGTTGTGAAAAGTGCATGGATTTAAATCAAACTAATAAAAACCATATGATTAAAAAAAGCCAGATTTACTAATTACATTTTTATATGCCCTAATTCCCCAAGAATGAAATATCTTTTGAATATAATCTAAAAATGATACATTTTTAAAGAAAACACTGAAAGATCCACTGTTTTCTTCTTGTAGAATCTTCCAAAATAATGATTTCTTGAAACCAGATGTGAAACATACTAAAACATGGCCATGATGTGAGAACAAAATTTCAATATGCATGTAATGTACAAAGAGTGGTCTTCATCAATATAGGCCTATTAGTTCTGATCCCAAAATAAAAATAATTAAGAAACATGAAATGGGATTGATAGCATGCAGTAGCTACTTCTGCAGTGAAAACTATACAGATATAGTCACACCCATTTATTAAAGATAAACATTTTTATAAAAATTTAAACAATTAGATCAAAAACTTTAGTAGCCAAGGGTCACATCTGACCACCTAAGGATTAGCTGTGTATCACTCTAAAAATAAACAAGGTCAGAGCAAAGATAAGGCTGGTGCCAAGACAAAACTGAACTATGAAATATGATACCAATTACATTTAACCAAATATAGTTAATCAAACATAGTTAAAGTTTCCCTTCTGTCCCTTTAAAATGTACAAATTTCACAGAATTTCTAAAAAAATCCCGAAAGCTATTTGGGAAGTCAAGACCATATCCTCATAATCTCAGTTACACTTCTCTGAATATATATACCTGTATGAAAGACTAAAATTTGATTTAAAGTAATCTGCTTGCATTGTGATCATGTGGTTACAAATCTAAAGTAAGTATGGTGAAAAGCCTCCTAAATTGTTTTATAATGAGGTAAGGAATTAATATAGTATTTAGCATACATGGTTGATACATTCTTTAGAAAGGTTAGTACTGGGGAGAATTGGGATATATATTTTCATTTGTGTGAAATAATTATTCATTACTGATGTGTCGCCTTCAGAGTTGTGGGTGCTCTGTCACTGGAGGCTTTTAAAAAGAGACTGGACAGCCACTTGTCAGAAATGGTATATGGTCGCCTTCTTGAGCAGGGGGTTGGACTAGATGACCTACAAGGTCCCTTCCAACTCTGTTATTCTGTATTCTGTTCTCAGAACATAAGGCAGCCACCAACAGTTCAACTTGATAATCATATTTCATGAGGCTGTTCTAATTTTCTGTTTTTCTAGGCAATCAAGCACCTTATTAAAGATGTATTGTCTTCTGCAGCAATGTTTCTAGAGATTCTGAGGTAAGTATTGTAAGAAATACTGGCTGTGAACAGAGTCTGCCATATCAAGAGAAACAAGGAGGAGAAAAATCTCCGTTTTTTAAAAGAGAACTAGAATATTTTAGCCTAACATTTCATAAGATCTGCAGTTGATGAAATTTTGTAGGGCAACTTTGTGGTCTACTCTACATGTTACAAAAATATCTCCCTACTTTATATACAAGCCAAAACAATTTCTAATTCCTGGATCCGATGTGCAAAACTGAAAACCTGATAGAAATTTCAGAAAGGCTAAGCCAGGGGTCTTCAATCTCAGCCCTTTTATGACTCATGGACTTCAACTCCCAGAATTCCTCAGCCAGGCATGCTGGCTGAGGAATTCTGGGAGTTGAAGTCCATGAGTCATAAAAGGGCCGAGATTGAAGACCCCTGGGCTAAGCAATATGCATGGAAGCCCATTAAACAGACAAATATTGCAAAGACATTATTGATTTTAGTCCCAATTCTGATTTTGGGGAAAAACTTTAATCTTCTCTCATATTAAGCTAGTTTGAAAATTAAACAGCTGAAAGTTGTTGATATATTTGGACACTTCTTGCCAGAATACCAGATTCTGATTTGGAATTTAACAGTTTTGTTTTGCTAATATCACTACATTTTACTTTGATAACCATCAAGCAGATCCAAACTTACATTCAAGTTGTATATTACATTCAAGTTGTATATTAGCAATGTCACATCAGAATATATTGCTTTGGCTACATAGAAAATACAACAAAAGAACAAAAAGTTTAAATTAATTTGTTCTACATTTTTATAACTGTAAAAGAAAGGTTGATGAAATGTTTTGAATAACACAAAGTTAGTTTTGAGAGTTCAGGTTTATAACGAAAGAACAATAATGTATGGCTTATATTTTACAGGCACATTCTATTTATAAAGTTTGTATAATCAGCCCAATGAAACTATGTCTGGTATTCCAGCATCTTTAACGTGAATCTTAGTTTTGCCCAATTGTTTTAAAAAAATGAGCTGGAAGACACAGACAGAAAAAGACTGTCATTGATTGAGTCCAGCAATAGAAAAAGGACATCTTACCTTTCCTCAGAATTATTGTGATTGCTATTCCCAATGAAATTCCGAATTTCTGTAAAGTATGAGTCTTCTTTATCATCTAAGATAGCCCCTGTGCTTTCAAGTTCAGAGTGAGGTGAAGATGTAGCAGTACCTTTACAAAAAAAATCAAATATATATGGATAAAAATTTATTTTTGAGGAGAAGAAAGATGCATAATTTTTGTAAGCTTGAATGACAGGTTAAAGGTTGTTCTTCAAGAGTTAGCAGTGCCAGCAAATCTGGAAGTTTTATGGGTTGACATGCATGTTTTATTTCTTAATCCTAAAAAAATACAAACCCACCCATCCAACACGCAGGAGAAAAAATTCTTTAGCCCCATTCACTTTGGAAGAATTCTGGGATCCATAAAATGGATGATAACATCTTTAACATACATATATTAGTCCTTTTTTGACTGTCAAATCCTATTAGGGACAGCTCACATACTAACAGCATAATACCCAAATTTCATTGAAGTTTTTAGACATCACTAAGTGTATACTTATAACTGTGAACACTTGATACATGTATCTGACATTTGTGTTCAAATTCCTTGCTCTAAAAAAAGGTCCATGCCTATTTAATAATACACAAATGACTTGACTGTGTTGGAGACATCTACACAATGGTACTTATTCTTGTGCTACATAGTTGGTAAGTAAAAAAAAAATATTATCAGGCTATTAGTTCTTACTAGGAAGAAATTCTAGACTAGGTTTTGGAGCTGTACCCAAAGCTTTTGGGTGCCACGTATAAATCCAATCTCAGGTTTTACCTTTATTTATTTATTTATTTATTTATTAAATTTATCTGCCACCCATATCACTGTTAAGCAACTCTGGAAGGCTTATAATAATATAAAAATATAACATAAAACAATAAGAACTGTAAAAACATTAAAATATTCAACATTAAGTGCTAAAAAAATTACATTAAAATTAACCAAGAACTAGATACAAAGGAACCAATATGTAACCAATATGTAAACATGACGGAGGAATTTTCTAATCTACTAATCTTATTTTAACTTTATAGAAAGTTAAAGTTATATAACTTTATAGAAAGATTTAACATTTTTATATTGACTATGTAACAGTACAAGGGTAGAATTCTTTTTCCAGATTTTTTTTTAAAAAACTGAAAATTATTGCAGTTTTCTTGAGATGGAATGAGTGGGTTCCAACATCATTAAAATGCTACTGGCAATCTCTTTGTAATCATGATCTTCAGTAAGAAGTTTGGTATTAAAAGGGAAGTTAGTTACATACCAGACATATTGCCATTTTCATGTTTTTTGAGATGTCTGTCTAAGTTGGTTTGTTGGCCAAAGCACCTATCACATAAATGACATTTAAAGGGTTTCTCCTTGTTGTGGATATTCCGAACATGCCTTTGCAGATTAGATGATATGCTGAAAGACCTGTCACAGTATTTGCATCTGAAAATAAATATCAAATATGGAAGGATACATTATAATCCAGCAATACTCTATTGATATAAAAACAGAAGTTTTCAAAATATGTTATTTCCAGATACCCACAAGGTTCACTTCATTCACATGGTAGGTCTTATGAATGCAGTAATAGCACCTGAACACCAAATAGTTTGAATATTTTATCCTGCTGGAACCTACTCCCGTCAGAAAGGGCAATGCTGGACAAATGTACTTTTTTTCTTTCATACCAATACAAGTAACAGCCCAGCTAGATGAAGCAAAGATCTATCTTATGAAAGCATTTTCTTTCTCAAGTGGCCAGCCAGATGTCCCTGCAGTGCTCACATATAGAAGATGCCTGACCATAGCAAAGCACATTATTGAGTCTTCAAGACTAATGGACCTTGAAGGATCTATCTCCTATGAATTTATCCAATCCCTTTTTTTTAAAGCCATTCAAGTTAATAGATAGATGGCTGTGATGATGAATTCCACAGGCTAATTTTGTGTGGTGAAGAGCTGTTTGTTGTTGTTGTTGTTGTTCTACAGGAAAGGCTTTATTGGATGACACAAAACAAAGTTTTGAAAAAGAGAGAGAAAAATCCTTTTTTCATACCCATTCATTTTTTAATGTTCTGCTGTTCCCAAATTGGCCAGTAATCAATTTGTGGGATATTATACCCAGATCCCACATCTCATGAAGCTTTGCTGGAAATATTTCCAATAACTTTATGCAAATAATGTCTCTTCAACTCCCCCTTTTTAAACACATATACACATGTGCAGAAAGTGCATAAAAATGTTTTTCAGTTTAACTTAAATGAAGAAACAGCTTTAAAAATGTATAACTTACAGAATAATATATTTCCACTGTATATGTTAAAAAGTATGGTACAAAGACTTTGAATGTACAAAGAAAGATAAGATTTTTGTTTCATGCCATTGTCAATATGATAAAGTTAAACACGTTGAGAAGAAAACCTGAAACTTCTAAGACTTGAATAAAGGAGGCATGGCACTCTTCTCCCCATTCAATGTTATACTGTATGAAAAAAAATCTCCCGTGAAGAATTAGCTTTTTTCAATGTCTAATCCTGGAGGAAATACAATTATCTCCCCAAATGCAGAAATAAACAATCCAAATCTTTAATATCTTGCCAAAATGAGTAGTTTAGTCTATCTCTTGGGTACTAGAGGCATCAATTTTCATATTCTGTAGTGATTTGAAATCCCTAAAGCCTTTACTGTATTGCTCTTTAAGCCATTACTAAGACATACTATAACTATTCCAAATTGTTTAGCTGGCACTTAGCCAACGGTCTACATCAACATCATCCTCTCGCTTCTCCAATCGTCTATTTTTCCTGTACTTCAAAACATCTCTATTACTTTGTGCATTAAGTCAATTATTGAGGGAAGAAATTATGCATTACATGGCTAATTGTTTCTGGCTGTTAGGCAGTAGAAGCGCATAACAGATTTTAAAACGTTATTTAAAACATGAATTAAATTACATGAAAGATGACTTCTCAAATAAATTCAGGACTAAGGAAAATCAACCAATCTGCTTTTTCTCCTTTCTTTGTAAGGCAAAACATATACCAATATATTTTGTTCTTTTAGGACTGGGGTAAGTTCCTTCCCATTCATGTCATGAAGTAGAATTTCAGTACAATTAAAATGATTTTTTTCCTATTTCAATAGATGAATAGTATCCATGTGTCTTATTTCCATGAGGTCTCCTGGTTAAGCCCAATGATAGAATTTACCAGCAGAAAAGTAGTTTAAAAGAGAAAGGTATGATGCTACACAATAAACAATAGGAACCATTTTTGGAAAGCTTGTTGGCGGTCCTGCTGTTTGATGAGACTTACTAATATTCCATAAAATTTTGATGAATACCCTGGAATCTACTTCTGTACATATTAATTACAATATATTGCAAATTATACTTAATGGAGCACATTCCAAAACTTTGATTTAAAATAAGTAAATAAAACTTGATTTACTACTTGATTGGTAGTGAGTTTTAGTGGTCAAAGGCTGAAGAAGCAACTCTAATATAGAATACTGATAATAATTTTTCACAAATAAAAGATACGTGATTATTTCTGTCCCCACACCTGTCAGATATACACCAATTCCTTTATCTTGTACCTGTATGGCTGTTCTCCAGTGTGTGTCCTCAGATGACGAGTTAGATTTGCAGATCTTGGAAAAATCTTGCCACAGTATCTATTATTGGAAAGTAGTTAATAATAATTTATTTTATGTTATGTAAAGAAATTGCTGGTTTAGCTATCATTTCAAACCAATCTTGAACAGAAACATTTCTACGATATTTTAATATTTCTGAAAACAGGTATGATAAATAAATTATATTTTAAAAAGTTACGGATTGAATTTACCAAAGTATCTGTGCACAATATTTGAGAAACAAGTGTTCAATTTAATAGTCACTTTATTAATATATATATATTAAGGGGTGATGGAAAGATACCTCATTTTGTTTGTTATATTCAATGTGTTATTATTGAAGTATCACTATATTATTGAGACTTGGTCTTTTAAGATTCTCTAAAGATATACTATGAAACAAGCTGGCATATTTAGGAATCTGCTATGCAGATTTTAAAAAATAAAAATAATAGAAGTAGAACTTTCTAACAGCAGTAGCATATTATTTTAGAAAAACACCTAATATTTATGAAAATGAAATACTAAAGACAAGTGAATTTCACATTTTGACCAGGGAAAGCTAATCTGGGGTAATGCCATATTGCTAAATCCATTATCTTTCTTATGAATACATGAAAAAGCTGATGCTACAAAAAGTGAGATGAATTGTGACTTAGAGATTTTCTTGCATAGTAAACATCAGCTGTACACAATGTGAAATGGACAAGATAATGTCATGTTGTGCCCTATCTCCATAGCCTCAGATAACCTTCAGACACTCATTCCTGTCATCATTTAATTCCTCCTTCTACTTGCTGCCCACAAGCTATCATTTACCTTTACCTTTATTGGATAATGTGTATTTTGGGATACAATTGTTATGTGTCATCCATTCTAAGCTATAGATTTGGTCTTCTTGGTCTCAGTCCCATAATCACCACAATGAAAGGTGTATGTGTGTGAGTGTACACTAGGCAAACTAGTTAAGTATTGGTGGATTAATACAC